CTGTGAGGGGTTGGGGGGGTCCCCCTGTGCCCCGGGGCTGGCTACCTGCTGCGGGGTCTCGTCCCCCGGCCTGGGGTCCCTACAGCAGGGTGCGGGCGGGTGGGTTCACTGCCCGGTCAGGCCTCTTCCGCCCTTTATCAACCCTGAACAGCCTTTTTTTTATTAAGTGAGGGCGCAAAACCCCTTTTATGGGGAGTTTTTGGTGCTGTGATCCCCCACCTCTGCAGGGCAGTTCTTCTCCTTTGGTGGTCTACAGCCGGGTGCGATTTTGTCCCATCGGGGTTTCTAGCGCCGGTTGCTTCAAATTCTTCCCGTATCACAGCGTGTTTCTGCTCGGTTGTTTTGGTGTTTGGGCTTATCTCTTTAACGCGTTGGCTGGTTTTTATTTTTAATCTGAGGTTGTTGTTACTGCGCGGTTCGATCAGTCTGTTCTTTTACTAGAAACTTTTCCTCATCTGATTCCACTTCATCCAGCCTCTTCTCTCGGGTGCAGGGTTGGTTTTTTTTCTGTCTCTAGCAGATGTCTGCCTGAGCTCGGTCCTGCTCGGCATCTGTTTGTTATTCTTGGACTCCTGCTTTAAGTAATCCTCTTGTCCTTTCCTGAGTTAGCTCTGGCCGTCCGTTATTGAGGGAGGGGAGTCTGGCTTGTCTGTCGATGTTGCTCTTTCCCCTCCGAAGCCCCCCCAGCATTTAACACAGTTTGTGCCTGTTTTTCCTTGAGCTGCGTTCCCCCAGCATAGCTTGCTCTCGAAGGATCTTAGAGAAAGGTACCATGGAGCCCTGAATTTGCTTTTTCTTTCTCAGTCACTGAAGCTGAACTTCAAGGGTGGGTGTGAAATAACCGGGGCCAAACATTGTTATAATTGTGCCTGGGATGCTGCAGGGACCTTGCTCCTGGCCTTCCCCTCCACTAACGCACCTTTTTCTCCTTCTCTCCACAGGAAAGCGAGGATGGCATTGAAGGAGATGGTGAGTAATGACTCTCTCTGGTGCTGCAAAAAGTCCCCGTGCAAAAAGTAAAAACCGGACAAAATGCCTTTTCCGATAGTCCCGCAGTTGTCATCCTGAATATTAACCCGTAACAGTAGGTAATCGTGGGGTGCAGGGATGGCGAGCCCCAAACTCGCCCTCGCTACCTTCTGTGTGAGCCAGCAGTGGTATTCGTCCGGGACGCTTTGGTGCTGGCCTCTGACTTCCCCTTGGTGGGACTGCTCAGTATGTGCTTGCCAGCAGTTGCCCGCCACGCGGCGCGTTGCGCTCGGAGAGAAGCTATGGCTCTGTTTCTGCCCTGACACCAAACTCCTTTTTCTCCCTTGCAGCTGTACTCTCAGATTACGAAAGCGCAGAAGACTCGGAGGTAAGAGACGTCTCTGTCCTGGTGTCTAAAGGGTTCTGCCGAGTGACTGCATCTCGCGTAATTTTAGCACAAAACCCAGTTTGTGTCCTTCGTTCTCTTCCACTGACCCCGCCAGCAGTGATTGCCTTTGTCTCAAGATACCAGCTCGTGTGCTTCGCGCCAGCCGTGCAGAGACTGGGAGCGAGCTGCGCTGCAGCGTAGTCATCGCTGCTGCAGAGGAAAAGGGTCTCTCCCAGTCTGAGCCCCCTCGCTGGGCAGTTCCCTCGCCTACAGCCCCTGACACTGGGCCCAGCCCCGTGGAGAAGCCGCCTGCGCTGCCCTGGGGTGGACATAGGGCCAATAGGTCTGGGGGGGAAAAAAACCACCTGGCTCCTCAGATGTTGGCTACTGGGAGCAGGATTTGCTGCGGCCAAGAAGGGTGTGGAAGGAAGTGCAGGATGCTGGTTGTGTTTTAATTAGTTGAAATTAAAAAAAAAAAAAAACCACCCTAATTGCTGGGTTGGAAGCATCCCAGGCAGCGTCCCTGTCTTCTGTGTATGGCAGGGGTAACGCGCCCAGTGAGGGCTGGAAGCTCTGTGCTGGGTGTGTGCTGAGAAAATCCTGCCTTGCGTGCCCTGAGACCCCCTGCCTGCGCCTGGGAGGCAGCCTGGGCAGCAGCCTGCAGCTGTAGGTTTTTAGTTCAGAACTGTAAGGAAGCTTAGAGAAATTCTGGTTTCTAAGGATTACAATGAAGGTTTCCTAGTGAAAACTCTTCTCTTGAGACGGGTCTTTTGGGGATCTTGAGGGGGGCAGCAGTTAGAGAAAACACAAAACAGCAAGGCAGGTTAAATCGAAGCTCATAGGGGCTGTTAATTAATCTCTGCCATTAGCGAGGAAGGAGCGCGGCAGGCTGTAGAGGTGGCACGTGGAGGATAAGGGGCAGCTCACCGTGCAGCAGCTCTTCAAGCCTGGAAACCTGCGCCGAGGCTCCCCGGAGGCTCAGCGCCCGTAGAAGCAGAGCAACGCTGGTGCGCGCTGGGCTGTTGGAGAAGCAGGAGTATTGCATCACTGACGTGCCAGGATGACTCTGTTCCTGTGCCTAAAAATAATGCCACGTCTGGGTTTCCCCAATGTAAACAAAAGGAGCAGTTGATGTGCAAATACGCTGTGTTGAAAGAGAAAAATAGAGCAGTCTTTTTGTTAATCACTCAGAGCTATTTTTAGTGTCAGTTCCAGCCTAAGCAAGGCTTGCAGACTCCTGGAGGGTGAAACGAGGTCACGCTCCTGCGAGCAGAGTGCTCTGAGTGAGTCAGCTGAGTAACTCCAGGGAATTTGGAAACGCGGCGCTGGCTGGATCTGGGCCCTTGTGGGAAGGAAGGGACAGTCTGAGGGCCCTTGTTCACTGGTCTCCCTGGCTTGCACAAGCCCTTTCCTTTCAGAGCAGCGAGAGGCTGTGGCTTTGTGGGGGAACTGGTCCCAACTCTGTGCTAGAAGGCCTGACTTGGATCTGCTGTCAGTGGTGGGAGTTGGTGGGGAGAGGTGTTGGATTTAGTCTTTGCTTTTTCCGTAAAAATACAGGGAAAGGAAGGACCTTGAGAGCTAATCCTCTGCTTTGAAGGAGTCAGACCTCTAATAACTGCAACAGGAATCTAACTCCAGATCTGGGGACTTGTGTGGGAAAATTCCTGGGCGACCTGTTGCTAAAGGTGCATGTTTGAGTAACCAGGGCTCTTTCAGGCAGAGGAAGAGGATTACAGCGAGGAAGAAAGTGCCAAGGTGGAACTGAAGCAGGATAGTAATGATTCCTGTGAGTCAGCGGCAAAAGCAGAGAAAGGGGATGAGAAACCTGACTCCAAAGGTGCTGTAACCGGTGAGAGGCAAAGTGGGGACGGGCAGGTAGGTGTTAAACATGCGTTCTCTGGGTCATGGGGGGCTTCTCGCAGAGGGACTGCTGCAGTGGTAAGAGCTGTCTGATTTTGACAGGAGAGCACTGAACCTGTTGAGAATAAAGTTGGGAAAAAAGTTCCCAAGCACCTGGACGATGATGAGGAGCGGAAGAACCCGGCTTACATCCCGTGCAAAGGGCTCTTCTTTGAGCACGACCTCCGAGGGCAGACACAGGAGGAGGAGGTCAGGTATGTGAGCATCTCCCACATGTCTGCCTCTCTCTGTGAGGGTGAGGCCAACTCCCAGGCCAGTGTTCGGCAGCGCAGCTCCTTGCTTTGGTGTGAAGCTCTGGGAAAGCATCAGAAAGGAGGATTTGTCTGTCCTTCAGTTGCCTGCTTGCAGTGTCCTGCCAGGACATTTTGGCTCTTTTGTTTTGAAGGAGAGACTGAGGGTGGTGCAAAAAAAAACACAAGGAAAGCCTCTTGCCAATGAGCAGTGACCCTTCTTGCTGCTCTTCAGAAATAGCAGTGGGTAGACCAGCAGGAAGAGTGGGAGGAAGAAGAGACGCTGTCTCCTGTGCACACCCTGCCCTAAGAAATGTTTGGTCTCTCTGTGTGGGGCTGGTTGAAGCTGCCACATCTCCCTGGCTTTGCAACAACCTCTTGATCCTCCCTGTGTAACTGTTCCAGGCCGAAGGGTCGTCAGCGGAAGCTGTGGAAGGATGAGGGCCGCTGGGAGCACGACAAATTCCGGGAGGACGAGCAGGCCCCCAAGACCAGGCAGGAGCTGATTGCGCTTTATGGCTATGACATCAGGTCAGCTCACAACCCCGATGACATCAAGCCAAGGAGGATGCGCAAACCAAGGTGAGCAGCAAAGTCAAACTAGAGCCAGGCTCATCCTGGAGGGAAACCTCAGCCTTCGTGCCAGGTGCTTCAAACAGCCCTGAAGCGCGAAAGCCCTGTTGTTGGCTTTTGCCCTGGGGTGGGACCTTGCCCCTGGGAGTTCTGCACGCTGCACACAGGAGAGGGGTTCCCTGGTGCCGCAGCACCTCTCACCCAGGGGTGTCTTTCCAGTCATTTGTACTATTTTTCTCCCTCAGATTTGGGAGTCCTCCTCAGCGAGACCCAAACTGGTCCAATGAGAGGCCAAATAAGCCCCCAAGGCACCAAGGCGCAGACGGCACTTCAGCTCCCCCGCGAACCTTCACCAACAGGAGCTCCGCAGGTACAGGGAGGATGCCCCCACCTAGGAACTACCCGAGGATGGGGGGCTACAAAGAGACCCGTCCAAGCTACCGAGCTTCGGAAGCAAGTGTCCAGCATCCGTCTCGTAACGGTGAGCAAGCGAAACAGGAGAGCAACTATCGAGCAAAGCGTGCAGAGCAAACCCCACCGAGAGACAAATCACCCGAGATGGAAGCGGCACATGTCCACAGCAGCCCTGTGAAGGAGGAGGCTGCTTTGGAAAACCAAGCCACAGCTGCTGATGCTGCACAGCCACCGCCAGACAGACCAATTGAAAAGAAGTCTTATTCCCGGGCAAGAAGGACCAGAATCAAAGCTGGGGATGCAGGGAAGCTGGCAGATGAAGTGCCCGCTTCGGAAGGGCTGACTCCTGTGCCTCCAAAACCTGTGCAAGCTGAGACGTCCCCCCCACCAGCCAAGAGCAGTAACTGGGAGTCGCCAGTAGAATCCAGCTTGGATGGACTTGAGCAAGAGATGACCCAAATGAATCTCAGTGAGCAGAACTGGACTCCGGGGCAGTCTCAGTTCATACAGCCCCGGGAGCTGAGGGGTAAGTGGGTGCAGGCTGTTGGTTTTCCAACTGCAGCCCCAACCAAATGCAATTCCGCATTTCTGTAGTCCATCAGAGTTGAAATGTCTCTGCCTTACTCCAGTCTCAGTGTAGATCTGTGACGGAAGTGCATGCTGTTGAGAAAGCGCAGTGGAGTTGGTTAGAGGGGACAAAAGAGAACAGAAAAAGGAGAAACTGAACATTCTGGTGCACGTTAATTGAATTAGGGCCGGGAAGGGCATAAAACCAGAGCCTTTCCCTCTCTCTGCCCTGTTTTGTGTTGAGAATGGGGAAGGTTCAGTAAAGCTGAAGGCCTGTGTGTGGGGCAGGCAGCAGGGACTTTGTGTGGTGTGAGTCACGGTGAGACCAGCTGCTGCAGCAGGAGTCAGAGTTTGGCAGATAAGGAGCATTGTGCTCGGTTGGCAGGTAAGGGTAATGAATAACCAGGCTCCTGTAATGTCCTGCTAGGAGCAGGAGGGAACTCTCCTCTGTTTATCAGCATATTTCCTAGCATTGAGATTTGGTGGCTGCTTGCTAAGGCCTGACTGGGATTGGCAAATCTGTTTGTGCCTGGTAGGAGGAAGCTGCTCTGTTCGCAGGCCGGCTGAGGGAGGGATGTTTGGCAGAGTTACCCTCGTGCAAGCTAAGGACTGAGTTCTAGTTGAGCATCCATGAGAGAGGTCACACAGGTATAATTATCTCTTTGCAGAATTAGAGTCTTTTCTAGGGAGTGTTAGAGTCCTTCCCGAGGGAAATAAAACTGGAGCAAGAAGAAGAAAGCAACTGGCTGCTTTCATAAGCATCTCTTGAGGTTTAGGTCATGAAACCATAAGTCTTCTTGCACTGATGTGACTGGGAAAATCTTCGTGTGAACAGACCCTTGGTCTGGACTGTGGATGCGAGCAGAGAGGCGTTAAACCTGCCAGTAGAATGAGAGTTCAAAAAGGCTGTGATGGGCACCTGAGATTATGTACTCTGGGGTTTTTTTTCTTGTTTTCTTTTTTTTTTTTTTAATGCTTAAAAACAAAGCATCTTCACAAATTTACCATGAGACAGCTCCAGACTGCAGGTAGGAGACACCTTCCTGTCCATAAGAAGGGTGTAGTACTCTACTGTCCCTTTCTTCCTAGCAGAGGAGGTAGGAGTTAATTCCGGGAGGCGTTTGGCTCGATGAGCCAGCCATCAGGGTCGTTCTGTATGTACAGCGTGTATGCCTGTGCCTATATTTGCAATATCAGTGATCTGTGGGCACTTTCAGTGTTTGTTTTGTCCACTTCCGCTCCCCTGGAATTGCTTGTGATCAGTTTGGCAGCGTGGTTTTAAGTGTGCGCCGTAACTTTGTTGTTTAAATTAAAAGGAGCCCGTGATAAAAGTGGTTACGCCCTGTAGAGGGTTTAAACTGCAGCTTATCCAGTCCTACATGGAGCCTTGTTTCTACTCTGAAGAGGTCCTTGTGTCTGCAGGAACAGAGCTTAGATCCGGATTTCAAGCTGAGGATTACTTTTTTATTTTTTTAGCAAGACTTAGAAGGTGTTGAGCAATGCGGATGATTGTACAGCAGCACAACAGCTTCTAATTTGTGCTGAAATATTTAAAACCCTAACCTAAGAGATGAAGTTGTTAGAAAAGGTTTCTCATCATGAAAGCAAGAGCTGTGCCCGTTTGTAGTACAATAACATCCCCAGGCTGCTGGTGCTTGGTGACGGGTGCCTCCTGGCAGTGCCCTCGGCGGATGAGGCGGCTCTTTACTGGGCACACATGCAAACCATAATAACCAGTTTGTTTCTTCCTCAGGTATTCCTAACCATATGCACGTGGGAACTGGGCCACCACCTCAGTTTAACAGGATGGAGGAAATGGTAATGCTTGTTGCATGGAGTGTGACTCTTGGTTTTAGAAGCGCGGAAGCCCAGCATTTACCTGTTTCTGGGTTGTAATTAGAGGCTGCCTGTGACACCTCAGCCTTTCCCTTTTGGGGGTGTTCATAGTTTTTACTCTGTGACCCAAATAGAGGTTTGCAGGGGCTGGTGGGGGAGCGGGTCAGTGCTCCCTTGCTGGAGGGGGGGCTCCTGCCCCTCGCACTGACCCTCGCCGATCCCTTTGGACTCTTTCAGGCGGTGCAGGGGGGCCGTGTGAAACGCTACTCGTCGCAGCGGCAGAGACCGCCGGTGCCGGAGCCTGCCCCCCCCATGCACATCAGCATCATGGAAGGGCACTACTACGACCCACGTGAGTGTTTCTGTCCCGCTCCTGAGGTTCTGTGTGTGCTCAGACCTGAGCAGCTGGAGCAGGAGTCCCCACACTCCTGTTAGGGTTGGGCAGATCGGGGGCTTTGTCTTCCCTTTCCTTTGTAAATAGCATCGCTGCGTCATCCTCGTACAGTAACTAAAAAGTTGCTCCCTGGTTGGTGTTAAACCCACTGCAATACAACCAGCGTTACTGCCTCCCCCTTGCACAAGGGCTCTCTAGGACACTGCTCTTCTTCAGGAGAACTAGGATTTAAAATTAACTTGAAATCAGAGCAATGTCTTTGACATTTAAGAGCGGGGAGAATTACAGAACAAGGCTTAGGATAGATTAGGAATTTACTCCAGCATTTAAAGTGTTGGAGAAGAAATTCTCCGAGTATTCTCTTGCTTTATAAAGGGAATAGGAGGCTTTTCTGTTGGGAGTACGTAGCATCTGTGAGCCTGGTAGACTGCGTGCGGCGATGGGAGTGTAACTGGCAGCACTGCATTCAAGCGTCGTAACGGTAGCTGGCTGGGGTGTGCATGTGACTTGCTGCAGTAGAATAAAATTCGGTGGAGCTTTTCCTTACCAACTGTTGTGTGTTGCAGTACAATTCCAGGGACCAATCTACACCCACAGTGAGAACCCGGCCCCGCTGCCGCCCCAAGGGATGATCGTACAGCCAGAAATGCACCTCCCTCATCCAGGTGAGGAACCAGCTCCCCAGCAGGGCACGGGGCAGCTGGTATTGACGTTGTGGTTGTGCCCTAGGGGGCTCAGCCTGTGCTGGGGACCGGATAACTCTGGTTTTGCACAGCCTCTGTTGCTGGGGGAATCCGTTTTTGCTATTTCTACAACATGGAAGAGACCTGCTTCCCTCATGCAGTGAGGCTGGATCGATGTAAATTTTAAGGAAAGAAAAATAGGCATTTCTGGCCCTTGCAGCCAGAGCAGGACCGAGATGATCTGAATGTTTTGGCAGCCTCTAGCTGGATGTCTGCAGGTTCTGCGCAGACCCTCCTGGCTGAGTCGCTTCCCCTTCAGTGGGGTGCGTGGCTCTGCCAGCTGTTGTGCTAGGCTGGTTCTTCAGTCCCTGCTGCTTTTGTAGATCAGAAAAGCAAAGCAGAAACGAGAACTGTTGAATTGGCATGTTCTCTATCTTGCCCACAAAAACTGTTTCCTGAAGTGGATGTGCTGACTGGGGCCGTGTCCGGTTCCGGTGAATCAGGACCCTGGCATCGGGGAGGGAGCCATGCTCTGCTGAGAAGCGCTTCCCTTTTTCCCTCCCCAGCGCAGGAGCTGAGGTCTCGTGGCTGTAGGAAAGGCCTCTGAGAAGCGAAGCGCTTCTCCTTCCTGCAGGGAAGGCGCAGCCATGCTGACCTGCTGGCATCGTAACAGCCCCAGCCCTCCACGAGACACGCTGGCTTTATGCATGACATCACGTTCAGCTTAAATCCTGGCTACCCCTACCCCCCAGGAGCACTGTCCCCTCCGCCCCCTCCTCATCTCTATTCCAACACGCAGGTAAGCCACTTGCACCGCGTGTCCGTCTCCTTCCTGAGCAGGAGCTGTCGGGATCCTGTGGTGTGTGGGTATATACTCAGGTTTCCTGGGAAGCAGCTGGGCTGCTCCCATGGTGGGAGGTTGTTTACTGTTGGACTACTCCCATGTCTGCTGTGCAGCTACCCTGGATTTAGGGTCTAGTGGATGAAATGCCTGTACTGGTGGATCTCGGAATCTAGGTCTTCCCCTACAGAACAGGGAAACAGCCCACCAGCAGCCTGTGAACTGTTACGTCCCCCTCCAGGTCCGTGCTAAGCAAAGGACACTTTGAAAATTGCTTTGCCAGTCCTTTCTGTTTGAGATGGGGGCAGGAAACTGGCTGGTGCTGTTCTTTGGCACCGTCTGGGAAAGCCCTTGGTGTGACCAGCACAGTGCTGGCTTTTCCTGCCCCGTGTCCGACCTCTGTGTCCGCAGTTGCTGCCGGGCAGCGAGGAGGCAGATCTCTGTGGGCATTGTGATGATGAACCTGCTGCTCCCTGTGGCTGCCCTGCGAGCGGCACACGGCTGACACGCAGTGGCAGGCCAGAGATGTGCATGCTCCCCGAGCCCTGCAACCTCTCTGACCTTCCCTGCTGCCCTGGGCTGATCCCAGCTGCCCCGGCAGGGAATCAGCCTGCTTTGGGGGCAGATCCCGAGCCACCAGGTAGCCGGAGGCAATCTCAGTGCAAAGGGGAACTGTTACCTGCCTTTTCTGCACAGAAAAACCTGCTGCTGTTGCGAAGCACAGACGTTAAACAGCAGTTGGGAAACTCTGCAGGGCAGAGGAAACCCATCCGCCGCATCCTTTGGGTCTGGCGTGGCTGTGGTTTGCCACAACCTGTACCTGCCCACCCTGCCGAGAGCGGGGGGACCCTGGTAGGGGGCAGGGGTAGGCAAGGGTCCTCCGGGAGTTGTAAGTGCTGCTGTTCTTCGTAGTCTTAGGGAGCACAGCACAAATCAACCCCCATCCCTCTGTGGCTACTTGGTGGCATCTTTTCACAGCCCAGTTGTGTGCTCTAAAGGCTTTCTGAGACACGAGGTGCTCTCGCAGGGGATGCAGCTTTCTGCACCCCCCCGCAGCGAGGAGCACTGACCCTTCTGCTCTCTGGGGAATGCAGGCCCAGTCCCAGGTGTACGGCGGGGTGACGTACTACAACACTGTCCAGCAGCAAGTCCAGCCCAAGCCTTCTCCACCTCGAAGGACGTCCCAGCCTGTGACTATCAAGCCACCCCCTCCTGAGGTACCGTCCCCTCGGCGTGAGTCTGCGCGTGTGTGATGCTGTACCGTTGGGGTGTGCGTGATGCTGCAGTCTCCCTCTCCCATCCAAAAAAATATGTTGTTCTGAGGAAATCTTAAACTGTCTAATCTTTGACATGTCCCAAACCTCAGCTTCTCGTTGCAGGTGGTAAGCAGGGCTCCAGTTAATTTGAGTTTCTAAATACTTTAAAACTAAACCCACGTAAAAAGTAAGTCCAAAGTTGACTCTCGCTATTTTTTTCATTATTATTATCATTTGCTCAGGGTAGAAAAAAAAAAAAAACACTTTGTAGAGAGAAAAATCCAGTCCTAAGCTAGGAGGCAGTGACTTCTCTGGAAGAATAAATGTTGAGACCTTAGCAGTAGGTAACTCAGGCAGCAAACTTAAAGGCTTTCCAGAGGTGAGAGCCATTTCTCTGCACTGGGAACGGTTTTCTCGCTCCAGTGCTGCGAGCTGTGCGTGTGTGTGCACGCCAAAGTGCCACGTGTGTGTTTGGTTTCCTTTTTAATACCACGCTTAGCGTACAGGAGCTGAGCGAGCCTGAATCGCAGCAAGCCCAGACCCGGGCGGGCATGTGCCGGTTGTTTCCCCGTACGCGGGGAGGCGGCGCGATAGAGGGCTGGGAAACGGGCGGCGTTTGTAGATCTACCGCGAGATCGTCTGATCGAGGCGCCCTTTGAAAGGCCTCGCGATGGAAAAATGTTTAATCACAAGGAATGCTTGGCTGAAGGGAGCTGGTCGTGCCCAGAGCTGGCGGCGTGGGTGGGCAGCGGGCGAGTTTTGGCACCCAAGCGTGGAGGGTGTTTGCTGGCAGGACCCCGGCGATAGCGCTGCGACCCCCGTGCGGTGTTTGTGGTGGGGCGGCCTAAGCCTCTGCTTCTCTTTCCTCTTCCCCACCAGGACAGCAAAGGTGAAAAGTCAAAGGAGAGGAGCAACACGTAGGGATGCGGCTGTGGGAATCCCAACGCCGGACTCGGCACCTTGGCAAAGAGGAAGCTCCTTCTCGGGAAAGGCTCCTTCCCTGTGCGTAGGTGAGGCAGCGGGATGAAATAAGCTGCACTGTCTTGTGCTCAGGGCCAGGCACCTTCCCTCTCTGGTTTTACCGGTGCCCTCCCGAAAACCATCTCGCCGCTGCTGATCTGCCCTCCTTCCCCCTCCCTCACTGGGGCACAGAGGTCACCGAAGAATCAACCCCTGGAGTCGGTCCTTGGCCACAAGTTCTTGCAACTTCTCTCTTTTACTAAACGTCTGCCCTTTTCCCTCTCTAGGATGTTAAACTCGACTGGCTTGATTGTGGTCTCTGTTTTTATTTAAGAAATGAACCAGCCTCTTCAGTAAAGCTGATTTGTTTCTTTTGGGTATTTTGAATTCATTTGTCTGGCTAACCGGAACGTAGCATCCTCTACTCCCCATGGAGACAGCTGATAAATTAATTCTTCATTTCGATTCTCTTTTTAAATCAGTAAATTTATTTTTTGCCATTGTTTAAGCATAGGAAGGGCAGCTGAGTGATAGGAGTCTGTCAGGAACGCGCTGGCTGTGCAGTCACCGCTTAATTTAGAAGCTCCTCCCAGGTTTGGGTGTTTTTTTTTTTCCAAACAAGCCCTGTCGATAACTTGTGTTTCTCTGTGTGTGTGTGCAAGCTCCCAGCTCGCATCAGATGGGGAAATCCGTGTGCACGAGCGCGGGGCCACCCCCTTCCCCGCTGCCACAAGCGCACCTTGCCATTTCCACCCGCCTCCTGCACCTCCGCCAAATCGGCGGCAGAGAAGGGAGGTTTATGGGCGTCCAGGCACCTCGCCGCTGCCGGAGCGGCCCTGCCAGCAGACAAACCAGCTAGACAGGGCCAGCAGAGGAGTGACTTGCTCCTAGTGCTTGGGTGTTGCTGCTGTGGAAGTGGAAGGGGGTGTTGTAACCCGCCCCCGCGCATCCAGCCTGGGCTCCCATCCCCAGGAGGAAGCGCCCCAGCCCCGCGCCCACCCCCACGT